TCATCAGCAGCAGTATCATCAGCAGCATCAGCATCATCCTCATCGTCAGCAACATCATCATCAGCAGCATCGTTCGCATCATCATCATCATCATCATCATCATCATCATCATCATCATCATCATCATCATCATCATCATCATCATCATCGACAACAGCATCACCGTCAGCATCATCAGCATCATCAGCACCAGCATCAGCATCATCAGCAGCAGCATCAGCAGCATCAGTATCATCCTCATCAGCAGCATCATCATCAGTATCATCATCAGCATTATCATCAGCATATGCATCATTATCAGCATAATCAGCATCACAATCATCGCCACCACCACCACCATCACCCTCGTCATCAGCACCATCATCATCAGCTGTGTCAGCATCATCATCACCATCACCTTCATCATCATCAGCAGCATCAGCATCATGATCGTCAGCATCATCAGCATCAGCATCATCATTACCATCATCATCATCATCATCATCATCATCATCACCACCATCAGCATCATCATCATCATCATCATCATCAGCAGCAGCAGCATCATCGTTATCCTCGTCATCAGCCATTTTCGAGACCATGAGCGCTGGCGCAAGCTGGCGCCAGTGGGAGCGGGGGAAAGGTCCTGAGGCCCCGCGACACTCCACGTGCATCTGGGTCATGACCCACGTCGTGGGTGCTGTGCTGACCGAACGTCGAACCCCGATCCGCTCGCAGCCCAATATTGCACGATCATCACCGCCATCAGCATCCTCATCCTCATACTCATTCTCATCATCCTCATCTTCATCCTCATCCTCATCCTCCTACTCATGATCACCATAACCATCATCAGCAGCAGCATCATGAGTGTGAAAGGGAGGCATCAGCATAATCATTATCAGCAGCAGCAGCAGCACCATCATCATCATGATCACCATCACCATCACCACCATCATCATCATCATCATCAGCATCATCATCATCATCATCGTCATCACCATCACCTTCATCTTCATCATCATCATCATCATCATCATCATCATCATCATCATCAGCAACATCACCAGCATCATCACCATCACCATCACCATCACTATCACAATCACCACCACCGCTACCCTCCTCCTCCTCCGTCACATCCTCTTCTTCTTTATCATCCGCATCATCACCATCACCACCACCTTCACCACCACCACTGCCACTACCCTCCTCCTCCTCGTCCGCCTCCTCTTCTTCCTCATCATCAGCATCATCACCATCATCAGCATGATCATCAGCAGCAGCAGCATCAGCAGCAGCATCACTAGTAGCAGCAGCAGCAGCAGCAGCAGCAGCAGCAGCAGCAGCAACATCATCCCCTTCCTCTTTGCCTTTCCCTCCCTCTCCTCCGCCTCCTCCCCCGCTCCCTCCCTCCCCCCTCGAGACCGGGGCCCTCCGGAGATCTCCGGCTGCCCCTGGATGGAGCTCACGGGCGCCAACAGGCCTCCCCAACTCCCGCCTACGCGCCCCGCCCCGCGCCCCTCTCTTCGGGAACACACCTGTATTGGCATGGATTACAGTCGGGGCCTTGACCTAAGGAACCCACAATAAGGAACGAGGCCCCTTTTTTCCATAAGTAAAACTTTGATTCCCGATCAAGAACATAAGGAAAACCTGAGGCGAGCTGTGAAACACTTAAGGAACACGGAACCCCTCCCCAACGAAAAGGGTTCCTTCTTCAGGGCCCCGACTGTAGGGATCCGTGGACCTGGCGCGTGGGCGCCAGATCCGAGGATCGGGCACGGGTACGCCACGAAACACGGAGCCAGTGCCGCCTCATCTGGGGGCGGAGCGCCGCGGCGTCGCCTGCGAAACGGGCCCCTCCGCGAGTCCACGCGCCTTGGCCCATAATTGCGATTCCTCGACCCTTGCCTGGCTCCCTCCACCAGCCTCCCGCCCTGAGATCCAACCTTGCGATTAGTTTGCAATGTTAGCCAGCGTGGACCCCAAACAGTGTTTCAAGCAATCTGGGTGGTGCCATCTAGGTGGTGCTATCTGCGAGGAGCAATTTATATAGGTGGTGCAATACATGTGGAGCATTCTATGTGGTGCAGTATTTTGTATGATTATATGTGTTGTGGAATGTATGTTGTGCGACCTATGTGGTGCAACCTATGTTGTGCACTTTATGTGGTGCAAACTAAGTGCAACCTGCGTGACGCAATCTAGGTTGTGCAATCGAACGGCGGCGACGAGCGGCGACGAGCGGCGACGGCAGCGACGGGGCGGCGACGGCGACAACATAGCCGCCAAAGCGGCAGACAGGCCCAGACGACTGGCGGCGACGAGGCGGCGACGGGGCGGCGACGGCGACAACATAGCCGCCGAAACTGCAGACAGGCTCACTTCCTCAGAGTAGAAGTGAGAGCCACCCCAAATGCAAGCACCGTCTGGGGCACTCTGCGAAAAATCTCGACCGCAGCCTTAAAACCCATCTGTCTGCTGCATATTTCGGACCGGATCGATGTGCGATGGTCTTGGGGGGAGGAGGAGGAGGAGGAGGAGGAGGAGGAGGAGGAGGAGGAGGAGGAGGAGTAGAGGAGGAGGGGGCCCGCGACGCAGTGTGAAAAAAGTCCAACGCCCAGATGTGAGGGTCCCCCGTCCCGCTCCTTGGGGGCGACGACGGGGGCGAGCAGCCGCGGGGGAGAACAATACACGCATCCGGGGGCGCCAACGGACCATGCCTTCGGCGAGGCTCCCGGGCGGATTCGTGTAATGCCCGCCCCTGGGCTAGTCGCCCTTCTCGTCGTCTCCGCGCCCGAGGAGGAGGAGGAGGAGGAGGAGGAGGAGGAGGAGGAGGAGGAGGAGGAGGATGGGGCCCGCGACGCAGTGTGAAAAAAGTCCAACGCCCAGATGTGAGGGTCCCCCGTCCCGCTCCTTGGGGGCGACGACGGGGGCGAGCAGCCGCGGGGGAGAACAATACACGCATCCGGGGGCGCCAACGGACCATGCCTTCGGCGAGGCTCCCGGGCGGATTCGTGTAATGCCCGCCCCTGGGCTAGTCGCCCTTCTCGTCGTCTCCGCGCCCGAGGAGGAGGAGGAGGAGGAGGAGGAGGAGGAGGAGGAGGAGGAGGAGGAGGATGGGGCCCGCGACGCAGTGTGAAAAAAGTCCAACGCCCAGATGTGAGGGTCCCCCGTCCCGCTCCTTGGGGGCGACGACGGGGGCGAGCAGCCGCGGGGGAGAACAATACACGCATCCGGGGGCGCCAACGGACCATGCCTTCGGCGAGGCTCCCGGGCGGATTCGTGTAATGCCCGCCCCTGGGCTAGTCGCCCTTCTCGTCGTCTCCGCGCCCGAGGAGGAGGAGGAGGAGGAGTAGGAGGAGGAGGTCTCCACCCCCGCGCCCCGACAGCGGTCTCCACCCCAGCGCCCCGACCCCGAGTCCTTGGACAGGAGCTCGAGCCAGGAGCCGAAGGAGTGCTCCGTCTCGGGGTAGCTGAACAGGTCGGCGAAGGGAATCACCGGGGAGGAGGAGGATAACTGAAAAGAGGACGATGACGAGGAGGAGGAGGAGGAGGAGGAGGAGGAGGAGGACGATGAAAAGAGGACGAAGACGAGGACGATGACGAGGGCGTGGGCGTGGGCGTGGGCGTGGGCGTGTGTGTGTGCGTGTGCGTGTGCGTATGCGTGTGCGTGTGCGTGTGCGTGTGCGTGTGCGTGTTCGAGTGCGTGTGCGTGTGCGTGTGCGTGTGCGTGTGCGTGTGGGTGTGGGTGTGGGTGTGGAAGTGAGTGTGGGTGTGGGTGGGGTGTGGGTGTGGGTGTGTGTGTGGGTGGGTGGGTGGGGGGGTTCTTTTGCGCTTCACTGCCTAACACAGCCATGTCGGTGATCCAGCGGCCGCCAATTAGCACCTGCCTCTCGCTCCAGTTCACTTTGACTTGAGTATCCTCCTCAGTTTTCTGGCCGCTGCATGTCTACGCTTGGGACTCCAAGTCCCTCTAGCACACCACTTGTAGCTTGCACCTGAAAGTGTGCGACGCCTCGTACACCGTGCCTTCGACAACGTGCTCGATCGCAAGCAGCGCTTCCATCTGCTGCCCGCGCTTGAGGACCCTCTGCGCCCCCGACTTTAAAAAGTGTGCGTGTGCGTGTGTCGTTGTCTGATCGGGGGCACTGGAAAGGCAGGGGCGTCACCACGATGATGAGCAGGGTAAGGAAGGCGACCCTCTTGGACAGCACCGAGTTGAGCTTGCCCTGGATGACCCTCGACAGCTTGGCATCGCCGCCGCCCTGCGATGGGGGCAACGAGACAACAGGACGCGGTGGAGTGCGACGGCGAGGAGGAAGACCCCCCTCCTCGTCGATACATACCCCCCTCCTCCCCCAAAGCATGACATGCACCAGGGTGCCTTCTCCCTACCTGCTTGACCCAGCGCGAAGCGCTGGTGAAACCTGGTCGCGCCCCCAGGCTGCAGGGGCCCTGGCACAAAGCGGAAGGAACGTCACGTGACGTCAGAGAAGACCCGATGCACCGCCGGCGCCCAGCCTGGCGAGCGCACGCCCGAGGCAGTTCGGCGGTCTGCACACGACGCCGAGGCCACCGCCACCACGAGAGAAGGGGGAAGGACGTCGGCTCGACCTCCCCACCCCCTCCTCCCCTGCCTCCCCTCCTCCTGCCCCCATCCTCCCCCGCTCGAAGCCGGCTCCGCTGAAGCTGCCTCCTGCAGCTCCCCCGGACCGCGCCCCGACCAGGGCTCTCGACGAGACGCTGGCCGTGGCGGCGAGGCGTCCCGCGGGAGGCCCCGCAAGGGGGGCCCAGAGCTCTGCAGCAGCCTCTCGGTCCTCTGCCCCGGATCCCTCCGAGCTTCGCCGCTCCCTGCTCCCCAGGTCCATCGGCGGCTCCCTCCTCGCCCTTGCGTCCTCGGCGCTCCCTCCCTCACTCGTCGCATCCTCGACGCCCCCTCCCTCCTGGGACGCTCCTCATCCTCGGCGCTCTTCCTCCTCGACGATCCTGGGTCTTTCGGTCCTCGGCGCTCCTTGATCCTCGACGCTCCCTCCCTCCTCGGCTGCCCGACGTGTTCGCCACGTGGCCGCCTGATCCGTGGACCCCCACCTGGGGCCCCCTCCCTCGTCCGGGGATTGCTCTCTGACGGCCCCAGGGGCCCGCAAAGGGCCACCGCAGACGACGGAAACGGCAACAGAAACCGCCGCCACGTCTTCTCAGCACAGGGAGGAGGAGGAGGAGGAGGAGGAGGAGGAGGAGGAGGAGGCGGAGGAGGAGGAGGAGGAGGAGGAGGAGGAGGGGGAGGAGGAGAAGGAGGAGGAGGAGGAGGAGGAGGAGGAGGAGGAGGAGGAGACACAGCGGTGCTCGAGCCCCGGCCGAACCCAAAGCTCCTCCCACCTCAGCATCCTGGCCGGGCCCTCCTCCGTCGAATGCGCGCTCCCTGGGGGCACGCAGGGACGCAGCGGTGCATCCCCGCTGCCCCGGCCTGCCTCCCAGGGCGCAGCCCGACTGGCACCTCGCGGCGAACCCCGCCCGTGGCGACGAGGGCCTCCCAGGGAGGGCCCCGAGGCGGCGACGGCGAGGGCAGCGCAGCGCAGCGGGATCGGTCACCTCTCCTCCTCTGCGAGCCTGGATCCTCCTCCCTCGACTAAAGGGCAACGATATTAGGGAGGGGCAGCTCAGAGGCAAGCATCGACTGGGAAACAGCGATACATCGCCGATAGATTCAGGTTGGGCATGTCCCCCGACAGGCGGATCTTGGATGACAAATCAAAAGTCATCCAATAATACCCCAAACATATTCAAACCTACTTCGCACATCGTCCCCATACTATTTCTGACCATTTCTGAATATAATCCTCCGGTAGAGGGACACGCCCGACTTAAGGCAAGCCTCGGCTGGGAATCAGCGATGCATGGCCGATAGATTGGCGACGGGCCCCCGATGGCACAACCGCACGGTGGTCGTGGGCGCAGCGGGCCATCGGGCCCCTATCGGCGATCACTGGGCGATCGGGGGTTAACGCATTTTTTGTTTAACATACCATCGCACCGGCATCGCAGACGTGCTGCAGCGGATTTCTGCGCGGATTTCTGCGTGGATTTCTGCCCGAAGCGGGGCGTGAAAAACGAAGTGAATTTCACGTGGACTCTTTTTGGTCTTCAGTCCCAGCCAAAAAAAAATCCGCACGAAATTCACCTCGAAATCCTGCATGAAATGCACCAGGACACCCCGGGCCCACCCGATCGTTTTCCGAACGAAGTCCGCTCTGCGATGTTGGCGCCATGACACTCGATTTAGGTCAGGCCCGTCCCCCTACAGGCCGATTTTCGACGAAATATCTAAAATAGTCAAACAAATACCCCAACATTCCCAAACATACAAAAAACGGCCCCATATTATTTGTTTCCTGCTTTTGACTACTCCTCCTGTAGAGGGCCGGGCCCGACGGAACACTCGATCCTCGGGCCCTCCTGCAGCGGCGAGGGGGCCCGGAGGCGGGAGGTCAGGTATACCGATACCGCTGCTCCCTGGACCTCTCCAGAGGACACGCTGCGAGCAGCATCTTCCCAAGGAGAGTCCAGCCGTGGCGACGAGGGCTCTCCAGGACGAGCAGCAGTGTCTCGGCGGTGGACAAACCTCCCTTTAATAAACCACCCCTTAATGAAAACGGCCTGGGACCGAAATCGACGGACATGGACCCGCAAAAATGACGGCCGCGACGCCCTCTCGCGAACCGAAAACGGCCAATTCTTCAATCGACGTGTCAGGGGAGGATGGGGGGCAACGATAGGGGGGGATAGGCATAGGGGGGGAAACATCGACCTCGAATGGCGATACATCGCCGATAGATCGGCGACAGGCCCCCGATAGTGAATCCGCACGTTCCTGGGCGGGCTGGGGCTATCAGACCCCTATCGGCGATCAATGGGCTTGGGGGTCGACGCATCCCCCCCTGTGCCTATCCCCCCCTATCGTTGCCGCCTGATAGGAGGTCTGTCCACCCCCGAGTATCGGCACTTCTTGGCTGCGAGCCTGGGGAGGGAGGTAACAGGGGGCAGGCCTTCTCGGAAGGCGGCGAGTCTTGTCAGGAGCCCTCCGCCTTCCAAGAAGCCGCCGGCGCCTTCGGAGAAGTCTCAGGGGGGAGGGGGGAGGGAGGAGGGAAAGGGGGGGTAGGAAGGGAGGAAGTGGGAGGATGGGAGTAGGGGGGGAGGAGGAGAAGAGGAGGAGGAGGAGGAGGAGGAAGAGGAGGAGAGGAGAAGAGGAGGAGGAGGGGGAGGGGGGGAGGGGAAGAGGGAGGAGGAGGAGGAGAGGTGGGAGGAGGAGAGAGGGGAGGAGAGGGAAATGTGTCGTAAAGCGCGAAAAGGCTTCTCAGAAGCCCCCGCCGCCTTCCGAGAAGGCCTGCCCTCCCCCTCTCTCACTTCCCCCCAGGGCTCAACCTTTTCTGGGCGGAGGGATTTCGCCACGCGGTGCGAAGTTACCCCCTCCCCACCGAATCCCTCTCCTCTTCCTCCTCTTTCTGTCCTCCTCCTCCTCCTCCACCTCCTCCTCCTCCTCCTCCTGCTCCTCCTCCTCCTCCTCCTCCTCCTCTTCCTCCTCCTCATCCGCTTCGCATCACATGACGGATCCAAGTCGCCGACTTTTTTCCTCCTCTCGGGCAGAGACGGCCTCGGCGGAGTGGTACAGGAAGGGCACGTAGCGCAGCAGCTTGAGTCCGCGGGGCCCCCGAAGGGGGGGATCGACGGCGCGGCGTGCTCGCGCGCAGCTCTCGCGCGCAACTTCCGCGCAATCTCGGGATGATAAGATGTCATGTTTTACGAGGGACCCCCAGACGGGGTGGTGACCACACCATGTGGTGAGTCGGTGGGGATTCGGGGTCACCGCACGGTTTTGGGACTTGGGTCCCTCTCCGAGGATGTCTTGGGCGACAGGGGCCTCCAGGGTCCCAAGACCGTGCGGTGACGGACCGTGCGGTGAGGTCTCTTGGGGTTCCGAGGTCACGGCACGGTCTGTCACCGGTCTGTCACTGCACCGTTTCGGGACACCAAATTATATTATCTTGCACAGCTGCGTTCTAGAGCTCGGACCTCTTGATTTTCGTCGTCGTCGTCGTTCGTTCGTCGTCCGTCCTCCCCCCCCTGGCCACGGAAGGAAACTCCGGGAGGAAGGATGCGAACGCCTCCTGCCCCTCGCACTCTCTCTGGTGCAAGCGCCAGGGCACGCGTGCCGCTTGCTTCTCGGCGATCGTCCGGTTTATCATCCAGAAGGGGGGCGGCCACCACGTCTACCCGCGCGCACCAGCACTCCGCACCCCTTGCGGACCTGCGCAGCCGACAAGGCCAGGTGAACCGCGGGGGGGGGGCGGGGGGGCGGCCCCGATTTCGGGTGCTGCTAGAAGTGCCCCTGGCCCAAGGTGCCCCCAGCTTTTCGCTCCGCTTCGGAGCCCCATGGGGCCCTCTGGGCCTCGCGGGGGGGTGCCCTGGAGGCCGTCTGGGCCACCCCGAGAATCCTGAGCCCTGGCGACCGCCGGAGTCTAAAAAGAAGAGTCTCAGACGTTCCAGGAAGCGTGAGTGGACAGAACTCTCCTCCCTACAAACTGAAGGGGGCCCCAGGACACACAAGTCCCATATGTTCTCATATGTTCTGGGTTTTCGTCTTCCCCCCCCACTTCCCAGATTTTCCCAATATTTTCTGGGGAATCGACGATGAATTGTGTCTGTGTGTTTTTTTTCCCTCCTGACAAACGCACACCACTGAAAGCTGCCAGGGGCAATCCACGTGCGCACGGCACCGCGCTCCGACAGGACCACGGCGGGGTAGCGACTCGGCGTCCCAGAACAGTCGAATGCATCCGGCAAAGCACGCGTCGATGAGCGAAACCGGCTGCGGACTGCACCGGCACACTCGAGTGCCAACGTCGAGTGAGCGGGTGCAGAATGCCCGTCCACTTCTCTGGGTGGGCGACTTCGCAATGCGCGAAGGACTTCTGGAGCACATGGCGAGCCTCGTGCGGAACCAGGGAAGTCCTGCAAATCCTGTCAAGCTTGGAAATCTTGGAACGCATCGTTCGCAAAATTTGTTGCTGTACTGATTCCCGCGATCTCGCCAGGAGTGACGGGGGAGGAGGTGCGGGGCTGACTCTGGACGAGAGGTGGAGGGGGCATGGCAGGAGCAGGAGCGGTCGTGTGCGGGGATATGGCTGGCGGCGTGCAGCGCAGCTGGCTTCCCTGGCGCCTCCTGGCGCCAGAGGGGCCACACGCACACCGGGGACAGGGCATGGTGGCGGGGCCGAAACCAGCTGCCTGCAGCACGCTTCGCCCCTCCTCCCCCCAAGCGCGCAAGCCTCAGAGAAGCCAATCAGCTGCGTGTTCGAGCAAGCACGCACACTCCGCCCCTACATTTCCGGAACCCACGCGCTTCGGCCACCCCCAAAATACAGCGCGCACATGAGCGCATGCCTCGGCTTGCTCATGCCGGCTTCGCCGCTCGCGCCCAAGACGCATGACGACTACTGAAACGCGCGGGCCTGCCCTGGCCTTGAACGGCTCGCTTCTGTGGCCAACCTAGATGCGTCCGGGTACGGGCGCTGGGACGGAGATTGAAGAACGGACGACGGCCTTTGAAAAGGGCCACCATGCCTCTCCGTGCGACGTTGCACGCGGGGCCCCCAGAAGTCCCGACCATTGCCCCCGCTGGCTTCTCATCCCGAGCCCTTCTTTGGACGGCCCCCAGAGCCCAAGAATTGCCCAAAAACCTCCCGTCAGGGATGCCGTTCTCCCCGTCCCGAGAAAGGGCCGCGCGGCTCGCAGGGCGGAGGCCGCACGGGATACCCGTGTCAGGCGCCCAGCGCGCGCACCCAGCCGCGCGGCGCGAGCTGCGCGGAGGACAATGGTGTTCTCCGAGTTGCTGCTGGCATTGACCCTGCGGGAGGGGGTCCTCCTCGTCCCCATCCTCCGGGTCATCGGCCTCCCACATCCTCTTCCATCCTCGTGCTTGTCCTCCTCCTCCTCGTCCTCCTCCTCCTCCTCGTCCTCCTCCTCCTCCTAGTCTCCTCCTCCTCGTCATCCTCCTCTTCCTCCATCCTCCTCCTACTCCTCCTCCTCCTCCTCCTACTCCTCCTCCTCCTCCTCCTCCTCCTCCTCCTCCTCCTCCTCCTCCTCCTCCTCCTCCTCCTCGTCCTCGTCCTCCTTTTTTCCTCCTCCTTCTCCTCCTCCTCCTTCTTCTCCTCCTCCTCACCAACAGCGCATCTACATCATCATCATCATCATCATCATCATCATCATCATCATCATCATCATCATCATCATCATCATCATCATCATCATCATCAGAATCAGCATCAGCAGAATCATCATCATCATCATCATCATCATCATCATCATCAGCATCATCATCATCGTCATCGTCGTCGTCGCCATCGACATCATCCTCATCCTCATCCTCATCCTCATCATCATCATCATCATCATCAGCAGCATCATCATCAACAGCAGCAGCATCAGCATCAACAGCATCGACATCAACCTCATCATGACCATCATCACCATAAGCAGCATCATCATCATCATCATCATCATCATCATCATCATCATCATCATCATCGCCGTCATCATCATCATCATCATCATCATCATCATCACCATCAGCATCAGGACCAGCATCAGCATCAGCAGCATCATCATAATGGTAATACTAATGATAAGCATCATCATCACCGTCGTCATCAATAACAACATCATCAGCATCAGCATCAGCATCCTCCTCATTATTTTCAGAATCAGCATCATCATCAGCAGAAGCATCATCAGCATCATCAACATCAGCATCAGCATCACAACCATCATCGTCATCATCATCATCATCAGCATCATCACCATCAATATCATGATAATCATGAGCATCAGCATCAGCATCAGCAGCATCATCATCATATGAATGATGAAAATCGTCATCATCACCATCAGCATCATTAACGACAACAGCAATATCAACATCTTCAACATCAGCATCAACATCCTCATCATCAGCATCAGCATTATCACCACAATCAGTCATCAGCACCATCATTACAATCGCAATCATCATCATAAGCAGCACAATCATCATCAGCAGCATCAAACTCATCATCATCATCATCAGCATCATCATCGCCACCATCATCAACATCATCGTCAACCCCATTATCAACATCATCAGCATCATCATTACCATTATCAGCATCATCATCATCATCAGCATCATCATCATCAGCGCCATCATAATCACCATCATCAGACTCATCACCATCATCGTCTTCACCCACAGCATCAGCATCATCAGCATCATCAGCATCAGCACCATGACCAGCATCATCTCCATCAACATCAGCATAATCATCCTCAGCATCACCAGCATCATGCTCATCAGCAGCATCGCCATCATCGCCATCATCATCATCATCCTCATCATCAGCAGCAGCATCAACATCAATATCAACATCAGCAGCAGCGTAATCAGTATCATCATCAGCATCATCAGAATCATCATCATCATTATCATCATCAGCATCATCAGTACCAGCATCATCAGCATAGTCAGCATCAGCATCAGCAGCATCATCAGCATCATCAGCATCATCATCATCATGGTCATAATCAGTATCACCCCTCCTCCCAATTCCGTCTTGTCTCCTGCGCCCTTCATGCGATCTCATCCCTCCTCCCTCCTCCATCCTTCCTCCCTGTCTCTTCTTCCTCCGTCAGCCTCTAACCTCAATTCTCTATTACATGCTGCATCCGCTAGCCTCAAGCCTCCCTGCTCCATTCTCTAGCCTCAAGCCGTACACCTCCTCCTCATCATCCTCCTCATCATCCTCCTATCCGTGCTCGTCTTCCTCCTCCGCCTTCTCATCCTCCTTCTCATCCACATCCTCATCCTCATCCTCTTCCTCCACCTCCTCCTCCTCCTAGTCATCCTCCTCCTCTTGCTCTTCCGCCTCCTCCTCCTCCTCCATCCTCCTCCTCCTCCTCCTCATCCTCATCCTCATCCTCATCATCAGCATCATCATCATCATCCTCCTCCTCCTCCTCCTCCTCCTCCTCCTCATCCTCCTCATCCTCATCCTCCTCTTCCCCCTCCTCCACCTCATAGTCCTCCTCCGCCTTCTCCTCCTCCTCTTCCTTCTCATCATCATCATCAGCGGCATCATCATCATCAGCACCATCATCGTCGTCATCAGCAGCATCATCATCATCAACATGATCAGCATCATCATCAGCATATCCATCATCACCATCCTCAGCATCATCATCAGCATCAACATCATCATCAGCATCATCATCATTATCATCACCATCATAATCATCATCATGAGTATCATCGTCATCAGCAGCAGCATCGTCTCCAGCATCACCATCATCATCATCATCATCATCAGCAGCATCCTCAGCATCATCAGTATCATCGTCGCCATCGTCAGCATCATCACCATCATGGTCAGCATCATCATCATCATCAGCAGCAGCATCGTCACAGTCATAGCATCATCAGCAGCATCGCCGGCATCATCATCGTCGTCATCATCGCCACCATCATCAGCATCATCAGCATCATCAGCAGGTTCTGCATCAGCATCTGCATCATCATCAACAGCATCAGCATCATCATCCTCAACATCAGCAGCATCACCATCAGCATCGTCGTCATCATCATTGTCATCATCATCAGCATCGCCATCATCATAGCCATCAGCATCAGCATCAACATCAGCAGCAGCATCAGTATTACCAACATCAGCACCATCGCAATCATCATCACCATCATCAGCATACAGTAAGCATTGGCAGCAGCATCATCATCAGCATCATCATCAGCATCGTGAGCAGCATCAGCATCATCATCATTATCATCAGCATCATGATCAGCATCCGCATCATCATTATCAGCATCATCAGCTTTAGCATCAGCATCGTCATCAGGATCATCTAGGCATCGTCAGCATCATCATCTGCTTCAGCATCAGCTCCATCAGCATCAGCATCATCATCATTATCAGCATCATTATCAGCATCATCAGCAGCAGCAGCATCAGCAGCATCATCAACATCATCGGCATACTCATCGGCATGGTCATCCTCAGCATCAGCATCATCATCACCATCAGCACCATCATCCTCAGCAGCATCATCATCAGTAACAGCTCCATCATCATCAGCAACAGCACTTGAGCTTGCATCAACCTCAGCTTTGTCAGAACCACCAGCATCATCACCACCATCCTCAATTCATGATCACCATCTCATCATCATCATCATGACCATCAGCATTATCATCAGCAGCATCATCAGCATCATAAGCATCATCATCAGCATCATTAGCATCAGCCGCGTCATCAGCACCAGCAGCATCATCATCATCAGACTCACCATCATCAGCATCAGCATCGGCACCACCATCGAAAGCATCATCGTTAGCACCATAAGCATCATCATCAGCAGCATCACCATCATCAGCACGATCAGCATAATCATCATCAGCAGCATCATCAGCATCAGCATCAGCATCCTCATCATCATCGCAGCATCATCATAATCGTCATCATGAGCATCAGCATCATCATGAGCATCAGCGTCAGCATAGCCATCATCATCATCATCATCATCATCATCATCATCATCAGCAGTATCAGCCTCATCCTCATCGTCATCAGCATTGCCATCAGCATCATCATCATCAGAATCACTTCCTCAGCATCAGCATCGGCACCGCCATCAAAAGCATCAGCATCAGCACCATAAGCATCATCATCAGCAGCATCACCATCATCAGCACGATCAGCATAATCATCATCATCATCAGCATCATCAGCATCAGCATCCTCATCAGCATCGCAGCATCATCATCATCGTCCTCATGAGCATCAGCATCATTATGAGCATCAGCATCATCATAGCCATCATCATCATCAGGAGCATCAACATCATCATCATCGTCATCAGCATCGCCATCAGCATCAAGATCAGCATCATCATCATCATCATCATCATCATCATCAGCAGCAGCAGCAGCATCATCATCAGCAGCAGCAGCATCGCCTCCTCCTCCCTCCTCCTCCTCCTCCTCCTCCTCCTCCTCCTCCTCCTCCTCCTCAACGTCCCCAGCCTCCTCCTCCTCCTCCTCCTCCTCCTGCTCCTCCTTCCCCTCCCTCTCCTCCTCCTCCGTCTCCTCCTCATCCTCCTGTTCCTCCTCCTCCTCCTCCTCCCCCTCCTCCTCCCTGTATCCTGTCTCGGGGTGCTCGGATTCGATTTGGTCGTGCCTTTCCCTCCTCCTCCTCCTCATCCTCCTCCTCCTTATCCTCCTCCACCTCATCCTCCTCTTCCTCGTCCTCCTCCTCCTCCTCGTGTTCCTCTTGCTCTTCCTCCTCCTCCTCCTACTCTTCCTCCTCCTCCTCCTCGTCCTCCTCCGCAGCAGCAGCAGCAGCTTCGTCACCTACTCCTCCCTTTCCCCGCGCCCCTTCCCCTCCAAGTTCTCATCCACCTCCGCCCACCTACTCCACGTGCTCGCCCATCGTCACACGCACCCCGTTCATCTCCCTCACACACTCCTCTTCCCGAAGTAATGGCGGCCACATCTGAAGTCACAATTGTGCGGCGCCATTGTTGCGTTCCACTGCGCCTCCGATATGACAGCAAAGACGCGTTCCCTTTGGCCGCGGGGACGTGGGAGAAGGCACTGGTATCGCTTGCAGGCCTCGCGGCCGTGCCCGCCCGCTGTCTTTCACACGAGGGCAAGCGGCTTTCACTGGCGTCGCGGAAGCGCTCTGCACTTGATTCACACCACGGCAGGGTCGCCCTGCCGCCAGAAACGAAGTGCGCGTCGGGGCTCACCAGCTCGTGGGGCTCCGAACGATTAACTCCAACTGCCGAACAAGGCTTCTGCCGCTCGAGGGACGACCAAACCAGGGTTCTGCGGTTGCCCAGGCTCCGAACACACAGCAGCGCCGACCCAACGGGCGCCAGGCTTTTCGAACCAACTGTGCCCAAGAAGCGCGCCACACACGCAATCGGGGCCGCTCGAGCCACGAGCTGACTGAGTCAGGCCGAACATTGGGCCAAGCCGCAATCTGTTTTGCCGACAGCCGCAATGACTGTGCCCACTCCACATTGCCCACTCGGGGTAATCAAATGGGGCAGCCTGGTTGCCCTCACCCCTGAGGTCGTTAGTTTTTCGCAACCTCGACCCTCCCCAGGACTGGTTTTTCATCCTGAATCGTTTTTTGACGGTCCCGAGGCCTGGTACGGGCCCCCAGGGGCCGAAAATAGTATAAAACCTCCCGTCGCGAGTTCCTCGCAACGCGAAGGGGTCTGGTACTCAGAGCGCTCACTCGGACCCCTCGAAGTTATTCCAATGCGCACCCTGCCCTCGCAACGCACAGCTCCGATGGCGAGACCTGCACGCCTCAGGCGCCGCTCGACCACAGACAAGCAAAACGTTCCGCCCCACAAGAATTGGCGGCGCGCAACAGGGGGCAGGGGGAGGGGGGAAGGCTTCTTAGAAGCACCCTGCTTCTTAGAAGGCCTCGGCCGTACGTCTATAGAGAAGGCCCGCGCCTTCCAAGAAGCAGGGGTGCTTCTGAGAAGGCTTCGCCCCCCTCCCCCTACCCCCCATCTGCGCGCCGCCAAATGAACCTCCAGCGCGGCGACGCTCGACAGCGATGCCACCCCAGAGGGGGAGAACGGCACCCAATCGAAGGGGCCCTGGGACACACGAAAAAATACACACAGATAACTGGATCCCCCTCTCTTTTCCCATATGTTCTGGGGTTTTGTCTTCCCCCCACTTCCCATATTTTTCTGCATTTTCCTAGGAATCGACGATTCATTGTGTCTGTCTGTTTTTCTCCCTCCTGACCGATCCACGTCGGGCGCGGCCGCGGCCGGACGCCCCCCATGGCCGAATCGCCCAACCCGCCACGTCGACCGACGCCGGCGGTTGGCGCGTCAGGGGCGCCGGCCGCAGCACAGGGGCACCATGCCCCCCCCCCCAGGACGGTGGGGGGAGGAGGTCAAGGTCATTGGGCGTGGCTTAATGGGGGGGTCACCAACGGGGGGATCAGAAAAGGTCCCCTTTCGTGCCCCTTTCGGGCCCCTCCAGAGCCCCAGGGGGCTCGTTTAGGTACCGTTTGGGTACCTTTTCGAACCACCCTCGCCACCCCCCCATTATGACCCCCCCATTACGCGGCGCCCAAGGTCACGCCCGTGCGCCGGAAGGCGAGCCCATGAAGGGCGCAGGCGGTGGCAATGGGCAGCGTGCAATACACGCGCGCGCGCCACATCTAAGGACAACAGTACGTGCGCCTAAAAAGGGGAGGACTCCTTCACCCGGCCCATCGTCGTGGCAGTGCGCCCGAGCGTGAAGCGTGCGCCCGAGCGGTGGGTGGAGAAAAAGAAGAAAACAAAAAAACAACAAAACAACAACAAAACAACAACAACAACAAAAAACGAGCTGCGACCGCGGTCGCGTCCGCAGCGCCGTGGCGAGCGGCCGCGCCGCGCGTCGCTCCGGAGGTGGACCCAAGCTGCGCCCTGGCAAGCAGAAGGTGCAGCGTCCTGGGCGGACGCCCTGTCTCAGAGCGCACAGTAGGCAGGAATCGGGCGGAACGAACGGGGGGGATAGGGAAATGTGGGGGTTACGAAATCTGCTGCATGTAGCTGGCTTCGGCCCCGCCGCCGGGCCCATTCCTCGATACATGGGCGCCTCCCGGCGCTGGGAGGCGCTGGGAAAATCAGCTACGTGAGCTGATTCTCGACCCTACCCTTTGCTTTCCCCCCTTTGGTTCCCCCCGAAGGAAGAGCGTCGCTCGTATGACCAGGCACTTACTGTTAGGTCGGGCATGTCCCCCGACAGGCAGATTTTGGACGAAAGATAAAAAAATAGCCCAAAAATTATACCCCCAAGATGGTCAAAAGTGGTGAAGAAAAGATCGTCCCCGAAATATTTTTGAACTATGTTTGAACACCCCTCCTGTAGAGGGACGGGCCCGACTTAAACTTAGCATCCCGCAGGGGCATGGATCCACAAGAGATGCACATCTGAGGGCCCCCCTTCCAGCCCCTCGTCGAAGCCCCTCTTCTCGTCCTCCCTCGTCGAAGCCCCTCTTCTCGTCCTCCCTCGTCGAGGCATCCTCCCTCGTCGAAGCCCCTCTTCCATCCATCGTCCCTCCTGTTGGGGAGGACCAGCGCGCGGGCAGAACAAGATCCCGAGGCCTCGTTGGCTCCGTGGCGTCCTGCCCGAGCATGTAGGAGAGGTCGAAGACCAACGACAGCGTCCCGACGATGTCCATCCAGAAGAAAAATCTGGGGGGATCGAGCACGTCGCGCCGGATGTATGTTTCGGCGGCGAGCCCAGGGGGAAAGTGATAGGGGGCAGGCCTTCTCACGAGGCGGCGGGACTTCTCAGAAGCCCTCGCGCCTTCTGAGAAGCCGTCTCTGTCTTCGGAGAAGGCTTCGAACGAGGCCTGCCCCCTCTCACCTCCCCCTGAGGCTCCCCGCCGAGGAGCGTCGCGCTGGACGTGTTCCATCGGTCTCGACTCTGCGGGCACGCCTCGAGTCCCGCGCGATCGTCGAGCATGGTTCCAGAGCGAAAAGCGATCGCGCCCCATGGGTCCGGGTGAAAAACCGAGCGTCGAGCACGGGTCCGGGTCGGGTCCTTTTAAAATCGGTCTCCTGGGAAGGGCGGATCCCAGGAGACCGATTTCAAAAGGACCCTCGGGGCAGGAGCGCGAGAGAAGAGCATCTCGGTGCACGTGCCCAGATGCGGCCAGACTTCGCGCGTCGGTCCGGGTGGAGCACGAAACACTGCTTCAGGTGGCGCCCTCCCGGATCAGGCACACGCAGACATCCATGGGTGATCCACTGATCTGGCGTTGTGGATGCCACGACGATGGACACCCTGACAGTCCTATCGTTGAACTTAGACTGCGTTGAATATCATGTCGGGAAATGTTCTAAAACCATTTCAAACATGTGCTTCACATGCTTAACGCATGCTTACCACATGTTCTAGACATCTGGGAATGATTTGGCAACCTGCTTCCTCTCCATGGATCGTCCTCCACGAATCCACGGGCGATCCACTGATCTGGCGCGTGAGGGCCCAGACCCAAAGGATCGGGCCAAAGAGTGCCCCCCGAGACACGCAGCCAGTGCTCTGCCTCACTCTTGGAGGCGGGGCGCGCCGACATTCTGCACGGAAGCGGAAGCGTCGCCAGTCCACGCGGCGTGATCCGTCGGTTGGGTTCTCTCGGGCAGACGCGGAGGATCGTGGAGGGAGAGGAGGAGGAGGAGGAGGAGGAGGAGGAGGAGGAGGAGGAGGAGGAGGAGGAGGAGGAGGAGGATTGGGATCGAGGGGGACCAGGATCGCAGAGGAGGGGGGTCGTCGAGGGGGAGGGGGATCGAGGGGAGGGGGGATCGACAAGCCAGGTGCGCTCACGTCGTATCTGACGTCCTACCCCTCCCTCCCATCCCTTACCACGGCGTAGATCTCCTCTCGATTCGCACTGTCGGATGTCGAGCAGGCCAATGATCCCGAGAGGGTGCGCGATGCATCGTAGAGCACGGCATAGCAGGGCGTAGAAGAGCACGACAGAGCGGAGTATGTCATAGCATGGCGTGGCGTGGCGTAGTGAAGAACTGCATCACAAAGCATTGCAACGCAAATAATGGCATCGCACAGCGGCAGAGAACAGAACATGGCATAGCATGGCGTTGAAGATCAAAACGTAGCATGGCGTGGCACTGCGTAGTCAAGCAATGCATATCCTAGCATTGCAGCTGAAAGCATGGCATCGCACAGCGGAACACCACATAGCATTGCAATGCATGCCGTGGCATGGCACTGGAAATAATGACGTCAACGCTGCAGCGGGAGCACGATTCTGAACGAGCGGAAGCGCGGAAATGAGGCCAACGCTGCAGCGGGAGCACGATTTGGAACGAGCGGAAGCCCGAAAATGAGGCCTGCGCTTCAGCGGGAGCAAGATTTTGAACAAAAGCACCAGCGAAAACCCAACTCCCGGGAATCCTGTGTAAAAAACAATACGCGGAGGGGGGCCGAATCTTCCGGACGTTTCAGGGGAGAGAGGAGAGTAGTATTCAAATTGTGCAACTGTGGACGAGGGGAATCGAGGAGGAGGACGGGAATGAGGAGGGAAAGAGAGAGGGGGGGAGCACCCGTGCGAGCGGAAAATCCAACTCGGGTGAGCTGGCCCGAAGGCGCTTCACGGTACATCGGCAGCTGTAGCCGAAGCCAACGCTAAAGTGCACAGAGGACTGGAAAGGAAGTGCACAGAGGAATGGAAAGGTATAAGTGCGCAGAGAAACGGAGAGGGGGAGGCGAGAGGAGAAGGGAGGAGGCGAGGATGAGGTCGGAGGAGAAGGAGGAGAAGGAGGAGGAGAAGAGAAGAGGAGGAGGGAGGAGGAGGGAGGAGGCCGAGTCGGAGGAGGGAGGAGGAGGAAGAAGAGGCAGGACCCGTCGCCAATCCACCGCGCCTGCGTGCGTGGCTGCGCTTCGTCCCCCAGAGACTGATCTCTGGCCCAGGGGGCTGCCAAAGGCGCGATCGGTAGTTCAAAGATGGGAGAGAGCGTGATCCACCGCCGCTTTACTGTGAAAAATTGCCGCCCTTTTCCTCCGGAACCCGGGGGTCCCCCCCCCCCCCGAAAATCCCCCCCCGCTGGAACCCCTCCCCTTCCCCCCCCCCCCCTTCCCCCTCAAAAAACCACCCCCCCCCCCCTCCCCTACCCCCCCCCCTCCCTCGAACTCGAAAACCGGGGGGGGTCACTACTGGTTCGAACCCCCCCCCCCTCGAAAACCGGAGGGGGGGGTCACTACCGGTTCGAACCACTGAGCTGTCCCACTGTTCCCACCACTGTCCCCACTGTCCCTACCACTGTCCCCACTGTACCTCTGTCCCATTGTCCCACCGCCGTCCTCGCCACCGCCTTCACCACTGTCCCCACCACCACTGTACCCTCCACTGTCCTACTGTTTCCACCACATTCCCACTGTCCCCACACCACTGTCCCCACCACCACCGTCCCCACCACTGTCCCACTGTCCCCACTGTCCCCACCATTGTCCTCACCATTGTCCCCACCACTACCGTCCCCACCACTGTCCCACTGTCCCCACCACTGTCCCGCTGTCCCCTCACCGCTGTCCCCACCACCACTGTCCCCACCACTGTCCGCACCCCCCCTCGGTTTTCGAGGGGGGGGGGGTTCGAACCGGTAGTGACCCCGCCCGGTTTTCGAGCTCGAAAGGGGGGGGGGTGTCGAACCGGTAGTGACCCCCCCCTTTTCATGATGAACTGGGGGGGGGGGGGAGGGGTTCGAACCGGTAGTGACCCCCCCGGTTTTCCGGAGGGGGGGCGGGAGGGGTTCGAACCGGTAGTGACCCCCCCCGGTTTTCCGCCAGCAGCGGTAGAACACGCTCTTTCAAAGATGGGGTCCTGATGGATGGGGTCCTGAGGATAGGAAGGAGCCAAAGGGTAAATCTAGATTTAGGTCGGGCATGTCCCCTTACAGGCGGATTATGCACGAAAATCAAACATACTCCAACAAATATTCAAAAATAATCGAACATGCTCAAACAAAAAAACGTCCCCTGACCATTTGTTGACTATCTCTGGATATTCCTCCTGTAGGGGAACACGCCCGACTTATATCTGCATTGCTTGAGATAAGGAGCCGAACTCTATACACCGACGCTGTTTCCGGCCCCGCACTGAAACTCGCACAGGAAAGCGGATCCTGGTGTATACGGGATCCTGGTGTATACATGTTTCGCTGCTTCCCCGGGAAATCGGGGAACAAGTATTCACCACACCACCCTGATCTCGTCCCCGACCCCAAAATAATCTTGAGATTGAAAAGCAGCCCGCCACTGGTGATGTATATGCTCCAGCTTCCGATGATGATGGGCCTGTTTCCCACCACCACCACCACCACCACCACCATAAGCTGGAGGGGGGAGGAGGTACAGGATGAGGCGGAGGAGGAAGAAGACGAGGGGGAGGACCCCCTCCCCCCTCCAAGTTATGGTGGTGGTGGTGGTGGAAAACAAGCCCATCAGACGAGACACCTCGCCCTCAGGACCCCCTTCCCTTGGGACCCCCCCTCCGAGCCGCCGACGCCAAGGGGGGCGCGGCCGGCTCCGGCGCCCTTGCCGGCGGCCTGGCCCCGCGCAGGGCCGCGACTCCCTGGCGGCCGCCTCGCGCACGCCGGCCGGCACTTTTTTGTTGCGGCGGCGGCGGCGGGGCTTCGGTCGGGCATGTCCCCCACGGGCGGACTCTGGGCGACAAATTGTTAAACGAAAACTTTGTTTTGATGCGCGGGTCGAGAGCGCACCTCTTCCCGTCGAAGCTAAGCGGGCCGCGCACAGCTCTAATTCACAAGGGGGGGACAGAAGGAGGGACCCCACGTCAAGGCCAGGAGGGGGAAAAGCCCCGGAATCAAGAATTTAAAACAAAAACAAGCAATCCAAACAAATGCTCAAAAGTAGACAAACAGTAGTCCCCTGACTTTTTTAAAAGTAACTATGTTTGCATATTCCCCCTGTAGAGGAGAAGGGCCCGACTTGAGGCTAGGCGGAGTGACTGCGCTGGCGGAGAGCTAACAGGCGGGGGGGGTGACGCTGTAGCGAAGTGAATTGTGCCACCATGCAGGAGGGGGCAGGGCAGAGGAAACGGCCGACAGAGGGGGCGGCGGGGGAGCGAGGCCGCTCAGGGGGACGGGTCACGCCCCGAGCACGTGGCGCGGCCGGCCCCGCCAGCGGCTCCGCGGCGGCTGCTGCACCGGGGGGCCGAGGCCGACCGACACAGCCAGAAAAAGAGGGAGAGAAAGAGATCGCCGCAAGAGAACATACCCAGTTAAGAAAAAAAACACGACGGAGGGCTTTTCGCTATTCTCGGCATCGTGGGACCCACCGGGCCTCGGGACCGTCAAAAAACGACTCGGGATTGAAAACCGGTCCCGGGGAATGGGTCGAGACCTCTGGGGTTAGGTCGGGCGTGTCCCCCCAAAGGCGGATTTTGTGCGAAAACGTAAAGATGTTCAGAAATTACCCGAACAGATGGAAAAGTACCATTAAAAAAAAAAACGTCACCATATTATTATTTCACTAGTTTTGAATTTCCCCCTGTGGAAGGACAGGCCCGACGAAACATTATGAAAAACATATGACGCCGGGGGTCTGGGCAGAGGCAAGAAGCGCCCCAAGAGGCCCCCCACGGAGCCCAGAATCGCCCCCGACAGGGCCAAGGCCAAGGACTGGCCCGCGAGCCAGCGCAGGTAGCCCACGATGTTCTCGCGATTGGTCCTGCTCGAGTCCCACGCCACTCTGCACATGTCCTCCGCCAGCTCCTGGAGAGAACGCCCATCGAGCGCATCGTGCACCCAGTGAGCATGTTGGGGCCGCCGCAGCAACTCCATCGTCGCTGGCGCGCAGGCCTCCATCCAGCTGGACTCGCCAGAACGGGGCTCGGCCAAAGCGGGATCCAGCGCGCGGCGGCCGCGTCGAGGCCGTCCTGGAAGACGGCGTCGGGCCCGTCGAACTCGTCGTCCTTTCGGGAGCGGCCAAGAGGGGGGTGACCAAAAGAAGGGGGGTGCAAAGCATGAGTGGCGGCATGTGCGCGGCCCAGCGGGGGGGCCTGGGACGTAATGAAATAAGAAGAGGCGCCATGAAATCTGAGGGAAAATCATGGCCCGCGCCATGAAATCCCCCCCCCTGTCATCACCCCCTCTTTTCCGCTCCCGATCCTTGAGCGGGCGCCCCGTCGCAGCAGGCACAGGCCGGGACTCCGCCTGGGCGCCTGCCTTTTGAACTCAGGGCGCCGTCGCCCTGCCACCCGCGGGCGCCCTGCACTGCCCTGGGCGCCCTCGCCGCCACGGGAATGGGCCCCCGCAGGCCGCCACACCTTCGGGGGCCCCTGCCTGCTGCAGCTTGCCCTTGCTGTCGCGAGCACGAGCACGCACATCAGGACCCGCAGGAGCAGGGCTCGGGGCGGCGACCTCCACCACCTCGGGCTTGGCAGCAGCAGCGGTCGGCGCCTCCGCGCCGCCCCCTTCGGCTCCTGCATCGCGAGCAGTGCCGTCAGCTGCCTTGCGCTTTTTGGTGGGTCGAGCGCGATGCTTGGTGTGCTCTGCTTTGAGTTTGTCAAACTGATCCTTTGCTTAAGCAACTAGAGACTTGGCATGCTCGGCGATGAGTTATTCCAACTGCTTCTTACGCTGCTGGAGCTCCTACTTGTCTCCATCCGATAGTCATAATCCGCCCCGCCCACCTCGAATATGTCCCCACAATCGATCTTGCAATTTCCATCCAAGAGAGTGTCGAGCCGAGCCCCTGCCGCACGAGGCCCAGCGCGTGGGGGAGGGCGGCAGGCTTCGCCCGTGAGCTCGGCATTGGGAGTCGCAATGGTGCCGCCGAGGTCATCGAGCTCCTCGCTGAGCTCTTGGATCGTCTCGCGCTGCAGAGCCAAACTGTTCTCCCATGTATCAGCCAGACCCAACTCTTTCTCCATCTTCTTAATGTGGGCGTCCCGCTCATCCACCAGCTGAGATACTTGCTTCTCAGGCGGCAGCACAGCATGGCCAACAGCCAGACGGTCAAGCTCCAGAAGGCGGAGCCTACACTTCTTGGCCACCGAGTCGAGCGACTGCGTGCTTGCCAAGGCCATGAGCTGCTGGACCTCCTCACGCTGATCTTCTGAACTTCGAATGCAAAGGGATCTGGGCAAGCGAACTGCGGCCCTGCGCGCAGAGGGGGTGCGCTCCTTTGCCTTCACCTTTGCCCTTACCACTGCCTGTCTTACCGCCAGCATCAGCCCCCCCCCCTTCGTCTCGAGCACGGTCATTGCGCCAGCGGCCAGGCTTGCCCGACTGGTCGGGCTGGGAGACTGCCAGCTGCTGTGTCCACGGTTCTCGGGACAATAGAACTGCTCCGCATTGAAAACAATTGTTTGCCGACTTCCGATTGTTGCCACAGCCGCACTTCCAACACTTGAGAAATTCAAGCTTTGCCGCTGCGAGCTTCCACTCATCGGCAGCAGCAGGGCGAGAGAGAACCCATGGAGCATACTGTTTGGTCATGCGAGGCTGCACACATCCGAGACTGTGGCAGCGAATGTACGTGAAAAAGGGGAAGAGCCTCCGACCAGGGCAGGCTGAGAGGGAGGCTCTGAACAGTCGGGGGCCGCACATCCCCCCACGCCACAAAGTCAAGTTCTGAGCGAGACAGCTACGGACTTGAGCCAAAATGGCTACGGAGGAGGAGGAGGGGGAGGAGGAGGAGGAGGAGGAGGAGGAGGAGGAGGAGGAGGGGGAGGAGGAGGAGGAGGAGGAGGAGGAGGAGGAGGAGGAGGAGGAGGAGGGGGAGCAGGACCTCGTCTCTGGACATGTGTCGTTGCAATGGCGCGCCTCCCATGACCCCCCCTCCTCCAGTCCAAGGACGCCCATGGCTGGTACGGCGAGGCGCACCACCCCCTTGGACAGGACACCAAAAAAACGAATGGGGCCCAGGGACGCACCAAGAAATACACACACACATCCCAGGATTCTCCATATTTCCCCATACGTTCTGGAGTTTCCCCACTTCCCATATGTTCCCAGATTTTCCTGGGAATCGACGACTCATTGTGTCTCCGTGATTCCCCCTTCCGAAACATGTCACGAAGAGAGAGCGCCAAACCTAAGAACCGCACGACGCGCTTGGGTGCTGCAGCCTATGTGCGCCCCTGCTTGCGACGCCCTTCGCGTGCATGACAATGCAGGTATCTCCGCAGCGAAAACAGTATGGAAACGCATCTGTCGCGTCCATATGGAAACGCGGCCTGAAGAGATATGTGATATCGGTCAGCGACAGGCAGACAAACTCCAGAGAGAACAAGAAGAACACCACGGTCAGAATGATGTCCAGCTCCACGTTGGAAGGCACCTGTCGGGAGTGACCGCCATCGACCTACGCTGTTGTAGGAGCTGTCGCTCAGCGTGTCGCTGCGGCGGCCCCAGCGACACGCTATGCCGTGCAAGCGGATAGCGTGTCGCTCCGCTCCGCGAAGCAGGGGGATGAGACAAGCTCGGGACAGTGACGCTTGGGGGCCGGGCCGAGGAGTGGATAGCGTGTCGCGCCGAGGCGCGGTGGACCAGAACTGGCGACGCGACACTCCGAGCCAAAGTGCCTGACCGTAACTTGGAGGCCTGGAAATAGGCACCAACACCAAGACAGGGGGCTGCCTCCACAGGGGAGAGATGATTCTAGATTTCGGTGTTGGTGGTAATGTTTCGGTCACCTTGAAGCCAGAATATTACCACCATCACCGAGATCGGGATCTTCTTTCCTCGGTGGAGGAGCACCGCCGATATTGGTGTTGGTGTCAACCTCTAGGCCTGCGAGTAACAGCTCACGCCAATGCCGTCCAGGCCTCGGATGGGCACAGAAATGGCGCAGAAGCCTTCCGAGAAACGCTGTGACTAGAGGCCGCCTAGATGGGGCCTGAGCAGATGGAGTCGGAGGATCGCGCCGCATCGCCCATGCATCGCCCATGCATCGCCGACGTCGGCGACGCATCGGCGACGTCAGCGTGGAGAAAATCGGGCTCCGCATCGAGCCGCATCGTCGAGGAATCGGCGATGCGGCGCGATCCTCCGACCCCATCTCCAATCTGGGAGGCCAAGACCCTCAAGGGAAACGTTGTGATGTCGACCGACCCAACCCCCAGCCCCGCCCCATCTTGTCGGCTCTTGCGAATCGACGCTAATCGACGCTAGATCGACGCCAAATCGACGCGGACCGACGCTAAATCGGCGGTATCCCGTCGACTTCCAGACGTGAATCGACGCTAGTCGACGCTAAGTACAGAATTACGAGTGCACACACGGCTCCCATGATTGAGCAGGAACCGACCGACCTGGCATTCCTATAGTCCTACGACGAAATGTTCTTAGAACCCAGAGCTGTTCTAAGAACCAGAACAACGTTCCTAGAACATAAGCCCGGCGTGCCAAAACAAGACAGTCGCAACCAGAAATGTTTTGAGAACGCTTCGTGGGAACCACAAAAAAGGTTCTGGGAACACTGCTTGGAAGCACGCCAGGACGCTTCGCCACTGTCGGGTCGGGCAAAAGGGGGGGATAGCAAAGGGGGGGGGTGAGAATCAGCTCACGTAGCTGATTCTCCTGGCGCCTCCAGGCGCCGGAGGCGACTACGTATCGAGGAATGGGCCCCTCTCGGTGGGGCCGAAACCAGCTGCCCGCAACAAATTTCGTACCCCCCCCTTTCCCAATCCCCCCCTTTCGTCCGGCCCGAGATCTGTCACCGAGCCTGCCTGTCGGCGGTGGACAAACCTCCCTTTAATAAACCTCCCCTTCATGACAGACCTGGACCCGCAAAAATGACAGCCGCGACGCCCTCTCGCGAACCGAAAACGGCCAATTCCTCAATCGACGTGTCAGGGTAGGAGGTCCGTCCACCCCCGACTATATGCACGCCAGGACGCTTCGCCACTGCCTGACATGATTTGACACCGAGCCTGCCTCTTCGACGCCCGAAATGGATACGGAAACAATGGGTACAATGCCCAACAAAAAATGTTGTCCCAAACCAACAGCGCCCGCTGTTGGGCAGGCGGCCTTCTGTCTCGAACGGACACAGGCCGCGGCGGCGTGGACAGCGAGTCCTGTTCAAAACGAACCAGATCCGCTGTCGGTCTTTGCGCCCTTTCTTTCCGTACCCATGTCGGTCGTCCCGACAAAAGATTCTCAGAACACTGTTTGTGAGGACTATGGGCACGCCAGGACGCCTCGCCACTGCTTGCCATGACTTGCCACCGAACCTGCCTGCAGTGCCACGAAGATGTCCCTCGCAACCAGAAATGTTCGAAGAGCGTTTCGTGAAAACCACGAGAGGTTCTTGGAGGAGGAGGGGGAGGGGGAGGAGGAGGAGGAGGAGGAGGTAGGAGGAGGAGGAGGGATGAGGAGGGGAGGAGGAGGAGAGATGCCTGCAGTGCCACGAAGATGTCCCGGCAGAACAGGGCGACGAAGAGCGACAGCATGCCTCGGGCCGCGCGCTCCGGCCGCGCGCCGGAGGCCCGCGCGGGGCGGAGCCGGCGGAGCGCGGCCTGGCCCGCCTCCTCCTCCTCCTCCTCCTCCTCCTCCTCCTCTCCCCTCCTTTTCCACCCTCCTCCTCCTCCTCCTCTTCATCCTCCTCCTCCTCCTCCTCCTCCTCCTCGTCCTCCTCTTCCACCCTCCCTCTCACACCCTCCCCTCCTCCTCCCCTCCCTCCCTCCCTCCCTCCCTCGCTCCCTCTCTCCCTCGCCTCCGCCTCCGCCGCCGCCGCCTCCGCCTCCGCCTCCTCCTCCTCCTCCTCCTTCTCCTCTTCGAGCCCCCCCCCCCGAGGGAAAACAGAGGGAAAAGAGTCTGCGCCGCGACGAGGCGGTTTCAGGACCAGGCGGTCTCAGGACCACTCTCGGTCACCGCCGAGGGGAAAGGGTGGGGTCCCGAGGGACGGGGGCCCAAGGACAGCAATTGATCCAAGACAGGACGTGCGTTGTCAGGAGTCAGGTCGGGCGTGTCCTCCTACAGGCGGGTTTTGGGAGAAAGACGCAGGAGAGTCAGAACATATTGAACAAGATTCCACAGAGCACGAAAAGTCGTCACCAGGCAACTCTTGTTTCTCGACTCCTGAATTGTCCTCCTGTCGAGGGACATGCCCGACGTACCACTACAGCGAGGAGGATGCAGGAGCGCGCTTTCTACAAGACTCGTCGAAACTAAATTGACGGTTTGTGTTTTCGGTGCTTGCGTGGTGGGCTCTGCTTCAGTTCTGGCATGAGGCATTCGGTCCAGACGCAGGGGTGTCCGAGGTCCGGCAGTACCCTCACATCATTGGGGAACACGTTGTCGGACAAGTGTCCAAACCATCGAGCGCTTCAATTTTAAACATTGTTTCAACTTATTTTTGACGAGGCTTGTAGTATTCGCGATGACGCCCGTCACTGACTCCGCACCCCCCTCCCCGCCCGCCCCCTGGTCGCTTCACGCTTCGCGCCGCCGCCGTTTGGGAATGAACTTCTCTCAGGCATTCCCAGGCGGCGGCTGCGCGAATCGTGACGCGACTGACCCCCATCCAATGGGGGCCCCAAGAATATACACCACCTCCACGTCGATTCCTCCTCCCGCCTCTGCACTCCTCTTCCTCTCCTCTTTCCTGGGAGAGGGAGGGGGTTAAGAAGGTGGTGGTGGCGTACAGTTATCTTTGGGCCTCCCATCCGCCCTGGTCACGCCCATTATACCCATGGGATTAACAAAAAGTATCTCCAGACCTCCCACTTTACGACAAGAGAAAGCTGAATGAACGCGTATTCCGTCGAAGTCGACCCGTCCGTTCTAGGGCCCCTGGGGTCATCACATAGGACTATCCGCGGCGCAAGCCTAGTCGTGGGGAATGGACAATGGACCAAGAGCCCCGAGGCCTGAGCCGAGGGAACAATCCGGTTGGCCGTTAGAACGGGCAGAAGGCAAGGCCAACCTATCCGGCAGCCGACATGTTGTTGGCGACCCATGGCACCAGAAGAGTAGGATATGCAAAGGGCCCTCACCAGAAACTGCTCAACATGGGAGTCCTCCTCCTCCTCCTCCTCCTCTTCCATCTCCTCCTCCTCATCTTCACTCTTGGACTTCCTTCGACACCTCCACTGGCCTTCTGCACGCGTCCTTGCAAGTGCTTTCTGATTTGATGCAGACGGAGGGGGGGGAAAGAGAAGAGGGCGGCGGAGGGAGGTGGGTGGGGACACCCGAGGAGTGTTTGTTGAAGTGGGAGCCCGTCGTCCCCGCGCATGCCTCCTCCTCCTTCTCCTCGTCCTCCTCCTCCT